GAAAAAAGAGAAAAATATACGGGACTCGATGCGAGTAACCAAAATATATTACCTCTCAAATGCTTAAACAATCTACTATTAGAGTTGCATGATTCTGAGAGAAATTACTTTTCTGCTGAAGATGCAAATGTCACTTTGTACATGGAAGAGTTGTTGACTGAAGAAAAAGTTTATCCTAACAGCATGCCTGAGCAAGCTGTCAAGATGCAATTTGATTTCTTGAAGACATCTGTGTTGATGTACAAGCTGAGGGACTATTTTTTAGACCTTAGCTGCAATGGATCAAAATTAATGTTGCAAGATGAGGCAAAAATGGAAGACTTGTACAATCACATTATTTTCAAAAAAAGCCAAAAGAATTTATGAGAAACAGCTGAAAGGACTCATTTCAACCTTAGAGCAAAAATCAACAAATGACATCTATGATATGGCTATTCAACAAAAGGCAAAGAAGAAAAAAGAAAAAGATCTTAGAGACAAGCAAGTGTCTATATTGTTTCAAGAAATCTCTAAACTTCTCATTTCCAAGTCTATACAAGATATGAAAGAAACATATGCAATTCTCAAGAAAGAGCTTCATGAAATGGAACAGCCACCATTGCATACTGAGAAAGATTCATTCGAAGATTCGAAAGTACAGATATTTCATTCATTTTTGAATAGGATTTTGACAAATGCTGGAAAAACTAGCTCCAAGAATGGAGAAGCTCAAATAACGATCAATGAAAAGGACCTAGAGAAAGCGTTGGAGGAAGTTGGACAGAAAATTCAAGAGTGGAAGACTGAGTACATTAGATTTTTAGAGTATAAATCATATGAGGTGATTGACCACTTGAAACGAAGTCTATTCACATCAGAGCAAAAAGTCAAATTTTTACTCTACAAGAGAGATGTAGACAGAAAATCATTGAAGCGCAGAATTGACGCGGAAGTGGATGACAAAAATTATGATTTGGTGTTTCTCGTGAATAATATACTGTGGAAAATAAGGAACTCGAACATCAGCTAAAGGAGGTAAAATCGCAAGTTCGAAATGAATTAATTCATGAATATGAGGACCTTGTTAGAAACTTGTACAAGGAGCTCGTTTCAACAAATGGCAAAGTTGCAAAATTCAAAAAGATTTTCTTCAAAATCTTGATCAACGGTTTTATGAAGTACGTGAGAACACATTTTCGAAATTGCCACGCAGAAAGATATTGGAGATGCCTCATTCAAAAGAAGGCGCTCGAAGTAGCCATGGAAGATAGCGAATTGAACAAGTTGAGACGAGAGAATGAAGATCTTAAAGTACAGCATACACAGTTGCAGTCTCTCTACAAAATTCGACTCATCACTCTTCAATCAAAATATGAAAAGTTAATATTGGAGGCAGAGAAAAGAGGGATGAAGCTCTCAAGGATTTCTATGCCAGTAAATATGAAGTTGGGCTCAGAGAAAATCAATTGAGACAAGAATTATTGAAAACACAACAACAGCTCAGTAACGCAGAGATGGAAGTTGAGCAATTACGAAAAGATCTTCAACTTCAAATCAAGAACAAACAAAAATTAGTGAATTGGAAAGTTAAAAATGCACAATTACTGGAAGAGTTAGAGGAGAAGGTTGAAAAGTATGAAAGATGGAGTCACACCAATGTGGATAAACTTTTACTCGAGCTTGAAGAAAAGAAGAGAGAAGCAGGACATTATGAAAAGTTGAAGGAGCGTATGAAAGAAAAAACCAATGCCATCGATTTCAAGAATCAAAAGACCATTGAAACTCTGAAAAGAAATTAGCAAAAGAACAAGCCATGAAATCCAAACTCATGGAACAGCTCGAAAGCATGAAAGAAAATTATGAAGAATCCTCCTGGCAAGCGAAATATTGGCAACTCATGAATGAATTGCAACAAGTTCAAAAAGAAAACGCCTCTCTCAAAATCATGCTCGAAACAAAGACCTCTTTCACTGAGCCGAATGTGGATTCTGAACTTGAAAATCCACCCATCGTCAATTTGGACGGTAACAATGCTGTGGTTCATACCACTCCCTCACCTCCAAGCTCTGGAAGAAAGACGGCCTCTCCCTCCACTCTATTGAGGCCAATATCTGAGGGAGACACTCCTGCTGCCATGTTTCTCATTGAGAATGCACCAAAGAAGAGGCCTTCCACAGGAGCCGTTCGAGCTAGAGCTGCAAATAATAACAACAATGCGCAGAACCAAACATCCACCATCATTCAACAACAACTTCAACAATTCAAGAAAGTCATGACTCAATCCAATGCGAGCAGTATTACCAATCAATCCACTCCGAGCGCACGACCTCTCACAGTGCTTCCTACGTATGGAAAGGGTATGTTTGGAGGAATGCCATTGCAGCAAAAACGAAGAGCCATGTCTGCAGGAACCAAAACTCGAAAGCATCAGTCCCAACCTTCAACCACCACCACCACCACAGCCTACACCTCACCTACGACGAACATGGTCTCTGAATAACTAAAAGCCACACACTCTTCCTCTTTGGAAAACCTTTTGATCTTACTAAATTGTAAACAACCCTATGACTTTGTTGTGCAATCAAATTGACATGAATGAGAGGGCGATCCTTAACACGAGTACTGCATGCAGTACAGGGGTATTTCAGAATTAGGTTGGTACATTTGATTTTTTTTGAAAAATGGAGATGAAAAAATGCTTTCCTTAATACCCATCGACACACGGGCGATAAAACAACCAAGAACCAAGAATGTTGCTGTGTTCTCAATTGTGGTCGTTGTGATGATTTTTGGTTTTCTAATGGTTGAGGGGAGCATAGGGGAACTGGTTCCTCCTCTTCATGAAATTGTCCTTCCTGGGGCTTCCGCCAATTCAAGAACTATTTCTTCGCTACTGATGGAACGTAAAGACCAAATCATGATTCATGCCTATAATTTTACTCTCAATCACGAGTATATGTACTCTTCCTTTCTAAGCGGAAATGAATCAACTCTGTACATCATTCATATGAACTCAAGCACGAGCCAAATTACCGTTTCTCTCGATATTGTACTCAAATCCAATAACAACAGAAATTGCTCGTTATGGATCGGAAACGGAAATCAACCTCCGATCCCTCATCGAGCGTTTGAGAGCCGTTTGCACCACAAGCATTCTGCCTTCCGACTGAGTGCTCCCAATGTGAATGATGCCAGCACCGCTCTGACCACAGTGTTCGTTTTGGTGGCCAACGAATCACCGACATCTTCTGCCACTTCTTCTCTGGTGGAATTTGGTCTCACCATAACCATTTCTCAATTTGCTCTGAGAGGAGGTACCATTGCCTTTCTGGTCCTTCTCGGAATTGTCGTGATTGGAATAGCTCTGTTGTTGGTGGTTGTTGCTCTTGTTCATTGCACTTCGAAACGTGTCCAAGTATTGGAAACGCACAACCAGCAACAACAAGAGGACTCTCGCAACAAGATTGAAATGACACCGATCCACTATCAAAAGATGACTGATGAAGAAGAGGTCTAATCTTGACTCTCTAATGTGAGTAACATTCGCGTGTGTTCTTAAGTGCTTGCATCGCCTCCGGTGATCCTGTTATTGTGGATGTGCCTTAATAAAAAATGCTCACCACCCCATCCAAAGCAATTACTCTTCCACCCTCCTCATCGGCAACGCCATCCTCCTCGTGTTCTTCTCTTTCCATTCATCAGGAACATCAAGAGGAAGGGGACATGTTGCTGAGAAGAGTGGTTGCATCTAATTTTGTTGGAAACGGAACTCCACCTCCTTCTCCTCCTCCACCAGCAGCGAAAGTAAGAAAAAACAAGACCAGAAAATTTACATTCAACGTAATGGACTCTCCAGCAGAATCTTTTTCTTCGTCGGATGGTCTTTCTTCATCTCAACGATTGGACAAGTTGAGGTCATTGAGTATTTCAATGGAACAAGATAAGGTTCAAGAGGTTGAACGATTGATCGTTGATCATTCTCCAAAAGGAACAAATACGCAGTGTGTCAAATGGAATCTTGGGATGCAATCGGATCAAAAGCAAAAAGACCATTATGGGCACCGTCCTTGCTCACCAATCCTCGAAACAGACCGAAATCCAAGTCATGTCCTGCAGATTACGTGGTCAGCTTTGACATGGGAGAAAGTCAAGGAGTTGTTTCCAGTCATGTCTTAGACCCCTTGGAACATGGCTTTGTACACAACAATGAAAAGAGAAAAGAATTAGCAGAAAAGCTGCTATTGAAATCACAGGGTTTGCATTTCAAGCCCATTTCCAAATTTTTCAAGTCACATAAGGGTGTTCGTGAGGAATCTCTATATAAGCATTCACAGCCCTCCCAAGAGACTCTAAAAACGGGGAAATTATAGGGGAGGAGTGAATGACGTACTGAGCAAAACCATTGAGGAAGAAATTCAAGAAAATGAATGTTGCAATTATGAAGAGCTATTAAGAAAAGGTTTCTATCTTTATTTGGGTGTTACAGCCGATTTAAGTATTCTAAAAACACTTTTTGAAAGAAATTCCAGATGATTCCTGCATGAAACTCGATAACCAGGAGTGTGTTGAACCGTTTCGCTTAAACATAGCACTTTCCATTGATTACGAATTCAGAACATCGTATTTTTCTGTTGTTTCTCACGACTCCTTTTTGGTTAAGGGTTTTGTTGAAACTCTTTCTTCGTTTCCTACCAATACAAACGAGCAGTTGAAATTCATTGAAAACGCGTTTGAGAAAGATGAATACAATAACATGAAAATGAAACGCTTGTTCTCGATGAAACGCCAAGATTTCCCACCTTCTCAATTTGTTTCTTGTGATAACGATATTGAGCGGTCCATATTGCATTTTGGGACAGTCCACGGACAAACAGCAGAATGTGTATTTGAAAGAAAAACAACCAGGAACGATGGCCCTTTAGTGAAAGTATTAACAGAGTGAGAGCTGTGCTTATATGTAACGATAATCTTAGTAATCAGTACATTTCTCGTGGAATGTGGCAACTGATTCATCTCTTTGAAATTGAGGATATATTGGATTCCGAAGTGCAAGCTCCTCTTTCCTCCGTGAGGGAAGAGAAATCGATGAATGCACCAGAAATGGGCACCCAGACGACAGAAGAGATAATTTTAGGTGAGTCTTGTAGTGAGGATTTACAAGATGTGAGCAATGCAAGTCCACACCATCTTGACCCAATGATCGAAAAAGAAGTTCACAAGGAAACAACCTCCGATCAAAGTGCACTTCAAGAGAGTGAAAAGACTGACTTGTTGTTGAAGAATGCCATGTGCGACCAGACCACAGTGGAAAATCATACAGATACCTTTGATTTACAATCAACCTTAGAGTTGGTACCGTACAATATTGATTGTTTTTCAGAAAACCTTGACCAAAATTCAAAAGAGGAGCCCACAACTGATAATGAGACGTCGTTTATACCAACAGAAGAGAAACATTTGGAAATGCCCGTATCACCACCTCCATTAATGATTGCCAATAAGGAGGATGAGCAAAACGAAGAAGATTCAATAGAGGTATTGTCAAAAGAAAACGTTCCTGAGATAATTTCCCGCAGAACAGGAGACTCATTTGATGTTGACAGGAGCGACCAAAAAGAAGAGTCCTTTGAGGTTGGAATCTCAAAAGATAAGAATGAGCAAGCTGAGGATCGAGTGGAGTCACCCCACCCAACAAGCAATAGTCAAAAGCAACACAAAGCTCCCATTAAAAGAAGAAAGGAAATAGACGCTATGTGAAACATCCTACTCTTTTCAAGTAAAGGCTCTTTTCCTCGTATCGAAACAAAGTCGGTGTTTTAAAACCAAAAAAAGTTCTCCCAATAGTCGTTCTCGTCACTCTTCGTCGGATTCAGAAATTGAAATTCATCTACTAGCTCATCTCCTCTTCATCAGAATTTCAACTGAATTTTTAAATTGCACATCATCATCCTCTCCTATTGAAGGAGAATACAATTCTATATCAGCATCATCACCAAATATATGCTCAAGAAATTTTTCGGCAGTGTAGCCGATAACAAGAAAGATCTCGAACACTTTGCGATGAAAGAACTGAATGATGATTTTCCTCCTGGTGCTTCATCGTCTCCCACAAGCATGCCGAATACAGAATCTCCAACAAACAGCACCAACAATAATGTAAAACCATTCAACAACATAATTAATAATAATAATAATAACAACAAAACTTCGTCTCCTTTTTCACCTAGAACAACAACAAATTTTCCCTCACAACAACAACAACTTCATCAACTCCCACCCACCATTTCTACTAGCACTGCCAAGTCCTATGCAAGCACTCCGACGACTGCCACAACACCCAGTGATCTTCAACGAAGGATTTCTCTTGCACTCACTTCATCTCAACAACAGAAGGAATCACCGACTGCTGCTCATATTTTGCTCACGGAAAGAGGAGCTTCTATGCTTCACCTTTCTGCTCATCATCATAGAAATTCATCATTGTCAAGTTTGTTGGATAGTAATGGTAATTTATTAGAAACCCTTTCTGCAGCAGACGATGAAGTTAATGGGATGAACAACAATGAAAGCCTCACCAACAATCCAACAACTAACACGGGTAGTGGTAATTTGAAATTACCAGAACTGGTTGGTATTGCTCCAGGTAGTCCCGATTTGTTAGAGGCTTTTGTGGCAGCCGAGAGTGATAGCGATGATGAGGAAGCAATGACGCCAAGAGGTACATTCAATGGAGGAGCCTCCAAGAATGGCAGTAATAATGAACAACAACAATCACAAGACGACAACGGTATCAACACTCCAGTGCTCAAAGTAGATCGAACAGACACTTCCGAGCAAAATTCATCAGCACAACAAACTCTATCAACAAACTCTCTTTCGGGATTAACAATAGGTTCCAGACATTCATCCAAGGATGCACTGGCCTCTGTAAGCACTCCCATGAGTGCCCGAAGTTTGGCCTCCATGTTAGATCAATTCATGGATGATCACTTGGCTTCTCCAAATACCTCAAGTTTTATGATGGTTGAGAGTGGAGAACGAAGATTGAGCTTGGATGAGACACAAACAAGTTCATCATCTAAAATTGATATTGAGCCAGTTCCAAGAGCATCTTTGGATAACAGTTCTACCGGAGTTTCTAAAAACAACGGCCATTTCCCAAAAATTCATGGCTCTGCATACCTTCAAAATGAAGAGGTATCTACCTCGTCACCTTTATTAACAAACACTAGTGGATCTGTAACTCCATCTCTCCAAACACCAGTACCTCTAAAACATAAACGAACAAAGAGCGTAGATTCTTCACATCAACAAGATACATCAACAGTCGGAAAAGCTTCGCCTACAATCACAAAAACAGCAACAACAGCGAATCTTCAGAATATTGTTAAAACTCCAAACAAATTTGCAGTTCCACAAAATGAAACTCCAATCTACAAATCGTTCAAATATACAGATGAAGAAGGAAAAGAATATCATTATCAAGGAACTGTTTTGCCAAGCACAAACGAAATGCATGGTAGGGGCGAATTATTGTTTCCTAATAAGACCATCTATGAAGGAGATTTTGACAAAGGAAAAAACATGGATTTGGAAAATTATTTTCCATCCCCAATTCCAAAGAAACCACCAACCATCGCAATCGGTCAATGGAATAATGATGTACCTTCAAGCGAATTACCTTGGAAAATTTCATATGATGGAGAGGAAATGGAATATTGGGGATATGTAAAATTGAAACCAAAAGTGTTGGAAAAATAATGTATACTCTTGATGGTACGTACTCATCTACATACAACAAATAATAATTAATAATAATGTAACAACTAAAATTTTAATGGAATTCATTAGATTTTGAGAGAACCCAAGAGGGAGAGCTATATTGTAGCAAGACCAACACCAAGTACTTTGGCTCATTTAAACACAATCAAAAATATGGATTTGGAGTTGAAATTTATCCAAATATTGCAGAAAGATATTGTGGAGGATGGAAACATGACATGTATCATTATTTTGGAACTTATCATTATAGAGATGGCACGTACTTCCAAGGAATGTACAAGAAAGGACAAAGAAAGGGTAAAGGAAAACTTTATTTACCTAATGGAGACATTATTGAAGGTTTTGGTATGGAGACAACAAAGTTGAAGGCTGCACCTACTACAAGGGAACCTGTAAAAATGTTCAATTAACAAACCTTCATATGCTCCAATTCCAAATTCAAGAATCAATGAAGTTATACGAGAATATGGGGCACATGGATGAATTAGCTATGAGTATGTACGACCCAGAATGTGTAAAACCTGCATCTGATTTGAAGTGGACTCAATATTTGGTGCTTTTAGGGATGATTGGAAAAAGAGCGGTACGCTCTTTCAAAGAAACTAGTCAGCAAAAGTTCTACCAGATATGAGCTAATGGGAATATCTTCCGTGTCTGCACAGTTCGACAGATTAAGGAAAGCTTTTACATCTATTCTTACGCAGTTATTGACAGGAACCTTTTCTGATATTTCTGCCTCTGCTTTAGATCCCAGTTTCAAGTTTATATCCAATTTTATTGCATTCTTTGTCAGCATATTCTGTGGAAGTTACTATATCGGATCGAACTCAAAATCAGTTTCTGGAAAGCATCAAGCCACACTGCTCTATCATGCGATTGACGATACAAAGAGTTTTATCATGTTTTTATGTGACAAAGTGTTGTGGGACTTTTCGTACGAGATGTCTTCTCGGTGGCTCTTACTGCAGATGTTCCAAACTCGGAACAACTATTGGTAGATATTGAAAAGGAGTTTTATCCAATTTGTAGAAACTTAATTTCAAATACCGTTCATGAAAAATTGGTATGTTACTGAGCTTTAGAAATTTGTGTGACCTTAAATTTTTACACGATTTTCATACGATAGTTTTCAACGTTATTTGAACTTTACAACTATCACTATCGTGATAGCGATTTACTCATGAATCAAAAGATTAGATCTCTTCAAGGTTGTACCATATCAATGTTTGGTGTCGCACCAGAATTTGCTCCATTACCACCCTCAGACATGAATCTTGTATTTTACGAATACAAACAAACAAGCGATATTCCATATGAAGAGACAATCAAACTATTAGATCAAATAAGAAATGCAAAATCAGTAATTGCTAAAATTGAAACTCTCTCTAAAGTTAGAACACACGCCATGCAAACAATGAAAAAATATAGAAAAGCACATAAGCGAAAGGAGGCATATTTGAATTATCAGTCTTCAAATGAAGTTTATGACATGGATAGAAACACAAAACCAACTACAAAGGAGCCGTGGTGGAACGCAGAGCTCGAGAAACGATGTGAGGAGTGGCAAGCAGGAGCTGATGATGTCACATCTGTGTATAGTTATATTTTCAGCAAATCCAGCATTGACAATTTTACTGCTACTTTCCACTATGTTAATGACTGGAAGTCAGAACAGGTGAATTTCGATCCAGTCAGTCACATAATACGATTTTATGAAGGCTATTTATCATATATTCAAGATATAGACCCAAATATTTTGCATGATGGCCAATTTATTTCCAAGTACTCTCTGACTAGCTCCTTAGAGTCCGCTATTGAAGGACGCGTTCTTGTGTACCGAGATAAGAATTTACCATTCTTCTGGTTACCGAGCTTGTTGGTCCATGTTGGTCTGGAAATTGGTAAAACCATCGCAAATTCAGCAGCCGCTATTACCAAATCATCTTCCCTTAGTATTTCAAATATTACCAACATTACTAATATTACTGCTGGCTCAATTTTGAACCTTTTAGCTTCCTTAAATCCAGCCACTGCTATGACCTCTACGAAAAACGAGTCTGCTCAAGATTCTAAAATGAGTTTTAATCCCTTCACGAGAAAGTTGATACTTCCAAGTAATCTGGAAGTTGTTGATATCAGCAATCAGAATTTAGTTCAATCGATTATCAAATTCTATGATCTGGTTCGACAAACTTTAGGTGCCAGCTCAATAGGTTTCAATGTAGAGTTGAAAAGAATGAGGAGACAGGCAACAATGATGTCATTGTGGTGTTTGACAAGCTCTATCCAAGCTATGTCTACTCTGAGATTGCACTTGGTGTGACTCGTTACATCAAATACGAACTTCAGAACATTATCATTGTTTAATGAGGAACTGATTGTTGTAAGTGAGCTGTAGCTGTGGTTGATTGTTGCCACTTCGTTTCCTTAAAGGGCTTTTCTGTCATATGCCAAAAGAAGAAAAAATTAAAACCCTTTTATGCAACTAAATTTCCGCGATCGAATCATCTTGCTCGTGTAGGCCTCTAAACTCCTGCAGAGCGCCGACAATGCACCAACAAATCAGGAGAGTAAAGCTCCAATCGGTGCCCCCAAATCATCTCTTTTTCCATACCAAGACTTTGAGAGACACCACACCAGAACACCAAAGAGATCTCAAAAACAAAATCCAAAAGCGGTTCTCTCTCTCTCGCTAGCCACCCATCTGCTGCTGCCGTACTACTGTGTGTGCTATCGTTCAGAAACGGTAATGAGTCGCTCCTCATCCTGCACTGTATCTACTTCCATGTTGTTTTTGAGAACACCTCCAACGAATTCTGTGATCGTCATTACTGAGAAGAGTTTTTCTTTAAGGTGCTTTAAAGATTTTGTTGAAACAACGCCATTCATACTTCCGAGTGCACGAGTAGCACAATTACAAAGGACGACAGATTTCCACCACTTCTCAAATCCATTCCATTCACTCTTGTATATTATTCATTCACTACTCACATTCTATTTATTGCCGTTGTGTCGATCATCATCATCATCCTTCTTTGTATATTCCAATTAATTGGTCATTCCATGGGCGGCATCAATTCTGTAGCCATTCGATCCACTCCTCACGACGACGACGGAAAGCTTGATCTCGAGAATAACTACAACAACAACAACAGCAACTTCCATTCGAGAGCTCTCGAGGGTGAAGAAGCAGAACGAGCCTTACAGAGAGCTCTCTTCATTGGCACCACCAACACCAGCACCAACAGCACCACCACTACTGATTCATCACCAGCACCACCACACCACCACACCCACCGATCAGGATCTGTTGCTTCTGAGGGATCACCCAAATCCATTCCAATTTGGCTCGACAACACAACCACTTGTTACTTTCCGAACCGTAACAATAAGAGATCTTCCTTTCTTCCTCAACAACGATCTTTTTGCACCACCAAATCCACGCAGAAACCAGCACTTTTATGTAAACGAGAATCAGAGTCCACATTGAAATCATCCGTGGAGTCCACCTTCAATACGGATTCCATCTCTCTGAATGGCTCGAAACGAAGTCATTCTGCTATTGGTCTCTCACTCTATGAAAAGTCATTACTCACAAGGGAATTGAAAGCGAGTATGAATGATCACTTTCAACCACAAAAACAACAAATGGTTGAATCGGCCTCCATGTTACACTCATCGGTTTCAACGTCCTCATTCCTTTCTTCGAGTGATCACAATAGAAACAGTCCTAAGAAAGCAGCTGTGAGTGGTGGTGTTACGGATCCAGTGAATAATAGCACACAATCGTCGAGTGGTGTTGACATTCCTCAACGTCGACGAAAAAGAATGGACCTCAGAATTCTTCATCACAAGATTATGACAGTGATACATCGACGTCCTCTTCTTCTTGTACCAATTCACCCCACAACCACTCTTTCTTAAATACTATGTCAAGAAGAATAATGGTGTTGTTTCAACCCAACAAGGAGATTCATGTGCAGATGACTTGTACGATTATGGCAAATCTGAAAAGAATCAACGAAACTTTCGATCTCAATCACTTCCAAATACGAATACAGAACCTGGGTCTCCCATTCGACCAATGAAGAAGGTTAACTCAGATAATTTCGGTTGTGACTTCCTTCCCATCATTGTCACACCTCCACCCTCTTCACCTGAACTCACTTCGTCAACGCCACCTTTTCGATCCGTGAGTCAAGAATTGCAACAAGCCAAGAGAGAAAACGAGCTCGACGAAAGAAGAAATTACTCGAGCAACAATTAATCCACGAACAACAGCAACAACTCTTAGAACGCAGCATGAATATGAAGTCAACCATTCGATCAAGCTCAGAAATTAAGCTCAAAGATAGTCCCAACAGCAAAAAGAATAATCATGCAGATCCTGCCCACCAAACACATTGCACTCTTCCTTCCATCTTTGAAAAAGTTCTTTCACAAACAAGAAACTAACAATGTCAGCACTGAAAATGTGAGCCTCCTTTTGATTGTTCTCAGATATTTATTGGTCACTGTTGCTGAATATTGACAAGAAAGCATTTCTACAGTATGTTCACACACATGGAACCACCCTCAACAATGAATAAATGCTGGCTCCTTTCTACTAGTATCTTGTGTTGTCGAACATGGAACACACACTTGCGATGTTGAACGAACGATTGTTTTTTGTTTTCTGCGATAGTTAGACAAACTAAAAATAAAATGTTTTCACCCAAAGACTTGAACTCTATCGTGAGAAACTCATGTTGGAGCCACCAAGTTTGATGAAGGCGATCCTCATTGATGATGATGAACCACAACCACAACAGAGTAGTTTCGGAATTTCTGAAGTGGAATATTTTGAGAAATGTTCCATCGGGAATGAACAGGAATTACTGCTGGGCGAAGGAGGAAATCATCATCATCGCCAATCTCTCTTTCATTGTGGATTTATTTCAAAGAGAATGGCTGCTGATTTTGATAATCTTGATGAGGGATGGAAAAAGCGGTTGACTCTTTGTTGTCGGGAACATAAGAATGGTTGTTCCGATACAAAATTCTTCATCATGACAGGTTCTTCATCAGCAAAAGAATTACTTTCTCATCAAGTGTATGACACCTTGTTGTATAGAGTATTTGATTCGGCTATTGGAAATGGTGGCATTGAGCAAAATAATTTCATCATCACGAATAGCAACCATTCGAGTGTAGCGCCGCTCGGAAGATCACAACCATGTACTGCACTGTATCATCATGAATTTGAAATTATATTTTCAAATAATTATCCTTTACAACCTCCGAGAGTGAGATGTCATACCCTCTATCATCCAAATGTACATCCAATGACTAGCGAGGTGTGTTTGCCGTTATTGGCGTTGAATGAATGGAAGCCATGCTTTGTAATTTCTACAATTTTAATGGCCATTGATCAATTATTAACTGATCAAATGCATTGGGCTTCAGATTGGAATACAAGTAGAGTGAATGGAGAGGCATTTCAATTATTGAGAAATAATGTTGCATGTTTCAACGAACGAAAAAGAGAATATTATTTTAGTAGAAAAGCAATAATTGCTGAGAATGGAGGTCAATTTATGAGTGCATTTGGAAAATATAGTGGTAGTCACTTGAGTAATTGTATAGAAACAGAAACCACACCAGCAGAAGCTGATTCATCCTCTTTGGATGAAATGATGATGGACGATCCTCATGTGTGAATTAAGGAAGAATTTACAATATGATAATTGTTGTTTTTTACTCCTTCCTATATTTGAACAAGTTCGAACATGAGAATTACATTGGACTATGACCATGGTAAGTTCGTTTTTAAATGTCACAGACATGTTCACTGCATTGTTTATCTAAAATGACCAAATCAGACTTGGATTATTATAATTCTAGCATAGTTAGGTAGCACTTATAGACTTGTTTTAGTTTTAGAAAGACGGAAGTGTTTCTGAAGCACACCACCTTAAACATGCATTCTTGTTGGTATATTTGAAAAACAGTCATTCAAATCTCACTTTGCAATTCCTCCCTGTTTTTGCAAATCACGTGATAACTTCCACGTCTTGTATTCCCTCGTGTCCTTCAATCGTTCAAAGGTATCATTTAAATTCATGAGCAAATCAGTGAGAAGGATGTTGTAAAACTTGGAAAAGCGAATTTTTTCTGTCACCTACTCCTTCTTTTCCGTCATTTCCAAATTCGAAGTGTTGGAATTCTTTTGATTCATTGTGGGCCATAACGTTTCCAATTCGCGAGTGACTTTTGAAGGCATGTTCACTTCATATTTTGAATAATTTTGAAAATATGTCACATGAATATGATGAAAATCCTCCTCTGAAATTTCTCCATTCGAGAGGGATTGACTCTTTTTGTAATTCTTGCAATTCCTTATAAAGTAAAATATTCTCCAATGAAAATTCTTTCGTGCAGTACTGTGTGAATAGTTCTTGAAAGGTTTCATCTTTCAAATATTCTTCAAGAAGTGATTCAACGTTACTTGACTGAGTGGCCTTTGCAGAGTCTTTTTCGGATTTCTTCTCATAACGAGTGCGCGCCCGTCGAAACCATTCCAATATCACGGCAGTGAATCCACCTCCCAACATGTATGTGAATATGGGGTGAACTTTTTCAAGATGGCTATCAGAATGTCACTCACATGCGCAGCCGATCCCAATAAACCCACATTAAAAATCACAATTAATATCAAACAACATAAAATTCCAAAGAGTGTCAAGATGTCAACTCTCAAATGAAATGGATCTTCAAAAGTAAAGATATGAAGAATTCCCTTCTCTCGAATTTTCTTCCAATTCGCAAAAATGTCCACAAGAAAAATTAATATTCTAACACACATGGAATGAAAACCTGAATCACATACATGATATTGATTCCTAATTGAGGTTTTGGATTATACCCATTTGTGGAAAAGTAAATAATGGCAATCAATAGCCAAACCAGTCCATATAAAAGTCCAGAACATAATGAACCAATAATTCCAAACAAAACAGACGAAAGCATTCGATGGAGTTTGATTTGTTTCTCCGAAGATTCATTCATTGCCAACAATCGATACAAATATCTCATATAAGAAAACCTTAATAAAGTAAATCCATAAATTCCAATAAGAATTCCCAACAAGGTCAAAATGACACATGATTGCATACTTGGACAATAAGTTCTAATTCCTTCCGAGAAGAATGCACACACCAGTATGGCCAAGGATGGAACCAAATAGGGAACAAGCAGTCGACGTTTCATCGAAATGGTTTTCCACACTGTTGAAAATCCGCCAAAAAGAAAACCCATCACAAGAGAAATATAATTCAAAGCTTCATAAACTGCTCGAGCTGGAAATCCAAGGAATCAGAACATGTCATGAATTCATTGGTCATGGAATTAAGGCAAAACATTTCATTAAGGGGATGTAAGGAAGAGAAATTGTCCGTCTTGTAAATTCCATAATTTTGAGAGGAAATGTAGGGATAAAAAGTGAGATTGGAAGAGACGGATTTGAATAGAAAATCTTTTAGGAATATTCTTTCTGTGAGTGAAATATTTCCCAAATTTCCAAATCGAGCATTTAAGGTTAATAGGTTGTCATTGAAAAAAGGAATGAATGAAGTGGAATTTAAAAAAGAAAAATCTCTCTTCCTGTAAACATTCTCTTCAATTTCTAATGTCGAAGAAAATTGATTGGGAGGAATGGAAGTGACAGCATATCGAGTGGGAATTGAGAATTCCTGTAAAAATTCCATTTCACTCCATTCGACCAATTTTCCATTTCGAGGAAGATTTATCAACACATTTTGAATGGTTTCTATATCAGTCACAAACACATCAAACATTTCCATTGGATTTCCCATGATACAATCGATATAAATAGAAGACATTGAAGCGACACTTTGTGGAATGATTTTCGAAGCATTCAAAGCTTGTAATTCCAAATTGAACATTTGCAATCTCGCATCAAACTATACTTTCAAACCATCTCCAATAATTGCAATTCTCTTCTTGTCCAATTGTTGAACGGATGTGAAATTGAGCCAAATTCTCCGTTCCGAAATTTCCACACCAACAAATGATTCCACCCATAAACGATAAAATTTCGAGAAAAGAAATTAATTGTCGTTTCTTCGTAACGAGAGGATATTGTTTGCTCATATTGTTGTTGAATAAATAATAAATCGAGAATGGAATAGTGTTGGAGCGGGAGAGGATTGCTTGTTGAAAGTTTGGAAATTTTGGAAGAATGGAAAGAGTTTTGAGAAGCAACACAGAGAGTGAAGAAGGAAAATGAAAGAAGGGAAATGAGAAGAACACAGGTTGCTGAGTGATGAGAAGGGTGTTGCATTTTTGGTGTTGGCAGATGACAAGAAATGATGACGCAAATACCAAAAATGTCGAATAAAGATCCGCATC